AGATAGAGATAGAGATATACAGATATATAGCTGTAACAATGAGAAATCTAAAGTGCCACACAAATATGAATAAGAGATAGCCCACAATGTATGCCAACACAAACAACTTCTTGAACATTACAAACATTTCAAAACATGAATAAAATGTTTGCTGTTAATGATTTTTTCATTGATTTTAAATTACTGTATCTATTTGAGCCTCATATTCAAACACATGCCTAATATAAATTTGAAACAACAGACACATATATACAATACATACAAATAAGGTTTTTAGATAAAGGTAACATTATGAGTGGATATAGGTGAGTATGCTTCTTTTTAATCACATCTCAATTGCTGCTGAATAAACATACATGTCTTGGTCAATCAGGGTCATTGTTTTATCCTGAGTGAGTAGAATTTAAGCAAAATACTGACAGTTCTCTAATAATTATTAGGATGGTGCTACTGTGAGTGATGTTGACACATTGACATAGATAGTGGTCAGGTTGTGTAGTGAGATTAAAATGAGAAAGGAGATAAGAATTGAGTAATGACTATAACACAACATCAAAACAAACTCCCCAACATCTAATCTGGAATATTGTTGCTTCTTAATTAATTACATGAATAACATAAAATTTGATGCAGATTCTGAGAAAATACAGTGTATATGTAGGCTCAAACACCCAAATTTTATTGTCAACCTAAGATTGATTCAGAACTTTCCAATGAATTAAGCTGTTGTTGTAACTCAAATTTCTCTCTAGATCTGTTTCGCGCATAATTTGCCTAAGATCCGATTTCTAATGTGTTGGCTCTTCACAGAGTACACAATGGGATTCATAAGAGGAGGAATCAGAAGGAAGGTGTCAGCTATAAGGACTCTAATAACTGGAGAAGTATTTTTGGCAAATCGATGGACAACAGCCAGTGTGATGATAGGCACATAGAAGATGAGCACAGCACAGATATGAGAAATGCAAGTGTTGAGGACCTTGAGGCGACCCTTGTGTGATGAAATCCCCAAAACTAATTTCAATATCAGCATGTAAGACACAGATATGCACGCCAAATCTAACATACCTGTTAGAGCCACAAAAAAGCCATAGATTATATTGACTTTGTTATCAGAACAGGCCAACTTCATGACGTCCTGGTGGAGACAATAGGAGTGGGATAGAAGGCTTTTGTTACAGAATTTAAGCCTCTTTAGAATAAAAGGGAAAGGGAATACCAACAAAATACTTTTCCCAGCAAACGCAAGGGCAATTTTAATCACTCTGGCATTGGTAAAAATAGAAGTATATCTCAAAGGGTTATAGATGGCTATAAAGCGATCAACAGACATAATGAGAAGGACTGAAGACTCCAAGGCAGAGAAACCGTGAATGAAAAATTCTTGAGCAAAGCAGGTATCAGTGGAAATTCCTGTGGCATTGAATAAAAAGATCCTCAGCATGGTTGGAAGGGAGGATGTCAAGAGGCCCAGGTCTGAGAATGCCAGCATAGAGAGGAAATAATACATAGGTTCATGCAGAGATGCTTCTGTTTTTATGAAAAAGAGGATGATGCAATTCCCGAGGATAGCAAGGAGGTATATGAGGCAAATGGGAATAGCAACCCAAATGTGAGCATGTTCTATTCCAGGGACACCAATGAGGATGAAGGTCAAGATTTCCACCTCAGAGCTGTTGGAGACTGACATGACAGGATTGTGAAGATAGTAGGTTCAGAAGCGGCTTCCTGCAATACAAATAAACACCTTGATTTAGTGTGTATGCTTTCGCCCTTTGACTGGTGTAAATACTAATATTTCAGATATCTTTCTATAATAATTCTTACATTAAAGCGAAATGTTTATAAACAATAAACAGGAGCAAAATTATGACCTTTTAAAACAGGTCACCAGGAAGAACATGAAAATATAATAATCTCTACATGTAAAAATCAACAAATACATACAAATATTCAAAACATTTCCCTGAGTGCAACATGTAGGAAGAAAGTACCATATTTCTAAGACTCAAGATAAGATAATATTTCATTAAATTGCACATAAGTATGCTTTAAGTAAATATTATTCAGGTCACTAATTGGAAAATGAAGATTCAGAATATGACTTTAGTAAGGTTTAAAAATACTAGAAGAAGATCATTCTCTAGAAAAGGAAGAAATGAATCCCATTGGGAAAAGAAGACTGTTGTCTCCCTCATGGTAAAAATAAACTGGAAAAAAATATTGGGTTAATCCATTGTAATATTAGTTGCAATGCATGTATGGCCAATAAAAAGTTAATCACCATTGTCCTCATTATCTGTGCAAAACATCTCCCAATACCTTTAAAAAGATTCTACAGGATATTATGTTGTTTCTAGCCTGTGCAAAAGGGTGTGGAATACACTTTGCTTGTTTATTAATCACTGTTAAAAGCTTAAATTAGTAGTTGCTTTCTTCAGAAAAAACTTAGAACTTTCCTCACCTCCACAAGAAGAAGGAAAATACGTAACCTTATAACCTTTTCAATAATATGTATGTATGTATGTATGTATGTATGTATGTATGTATGTATGTATGTATCTATCTATCTATCTTACTCATTATTGTTCTTTCATTTGACATTTACTTCATTTGACATATTTCATTTATATCTTTGAAAACCTAGCATATTTTATATATCATTGTAACCTTTGAGAACTTAGTGCATTTGGCACTGGGTAAATGTTTGTTGGACCTAGGCTTCCTTTGTTAACTAGAAGCTAAAGGACTTGAGAATGAAAGTATAGCGAGTAAAAGTTACTGCTGGCTGACCTGTGGATGACTGCCTCTTTACTGGCACTGTTGTGCATTAGAAATCTTGTCTTGCTGCCTGATGATGTGTTACTGAGTTAATTATTGATGCTAGAAGGAGTGGCTATGTTAGATTAAAACTGGAAAATATAAAAAGTTAAAGGAAATAATTAAATGAAGACATTTACATTCTAATATAACTAGTGTCTAGGCAGGGAGTTCTGGTGATATAGGTCACAGAGAGCTATGCTGCTTGCAAAAAGGCCATATCTCTCTGGTAGTTCAATTTTGCTAGCTGCTTCAAGGAAAAAAAAATGGATAATCTTTTCCCCTGAGACTTAAAGCCACCAAACCCCTGTTAGAGGGTTGGTTTTATGGGTTGGTTCTGACTAGACAGCAATGATTTTGGGGTTTGAGTTCGTGGCTGCACTGTTTTGAACTACTAAAAGAATATTTGATCATGTGATTTAACCTAATCATTTACATCAACGTGCTCATGTGTCCATTAAAAAGAAACAAACATTTACCCAGTTGCTTTCAAACCAATCTTTCACCCTTTATTGTTGTAAGTTGCCTTCAAATTGACCTCCAAGCCAAGGTGACACTAGGCAAATAGGATGAAATACAAATAATTATAAACTGGTTAATGTTTTGCTGTGATCCACAGGGTTTTTATTAGCTAATATTCAGAAGTAGATTGTCAAGATTTTTGGTTTTGTTCTGCTAATTTGTTATTAAAATGGACATTCCAGTGAAGCCTATAAGCGTGCGCGCGCGCACACACACACACACACACACACACACACACACAGAGCATGAGTTAGATTGAATGGGAAACAAACCTGAGTCTCCATTGTGGGAGACAACAACGAATTATTGTTAGTTGTTGCTAAGTGCCGTTGAGTACAACTCATAGTGCCTATCTGAGCAACCTGAATGCCATCCTATCCTGTGCCAACCTCATCGTCTCTGACACTTTTTAGTCCATTGCTGCAGTCACTGTCATTCCATCTCATTCTGGGGTCTTCCTCTCTTTTGCTGACCCTCCATTTTTCCAAGTATGATATCCCTTTCCAAGGAATAGCTTCTCTTAGCTATTGAAAACTATGAAAGACAACGTTTTACCATTTTAGCCTCCAGGGAACACTCTGGCTGCACTTTTTCCAATATGTATCTGTTCTTTTGGTAGCCTATGAGATATCACTAGGAAAACTGCCATTCTTTTATGAAGTTGCATCTAGGTCAATTTTTTACTACACTTCCTGGGTGTTTTGTTTTTGTTGTGTTGTTTTCTGTCACTTTCTCATCTTTTGCTACAGAGTAAGGGTCTTACAGAGACCAGTTGCACGTAATCGGAACAAAGCTCTTCCCTTGTTGATGTTCTCTCTCTTGTGCACAAGCATACACTCCTAGAACGTTTTCTTCTTTGCTTTTCCTACACTTATTTTCAGACTGCTCTTTGCTCTCCTATAATATTCCTCTTACCCCTAGACTTAATATTCATTAATTGTAGCATAAATAACCCTGTTTCTGGGTTGCTACCTCTTAGTAATTTTTCTTAATCTTTTGAGCTTCTTTCTCTGGGTTTAACTTAATTTTTAGGAATTTAACTCCTTATCTAGTGTGATTTGTCTCTATGCTATCAATATGTTTATTGATAACCAAAACCAAAGCAAATAAAGACTTGAATAAATTGGCAGGAAATAAAATGAGAGCTACTGGAGAATACAGGAAACTTTATGGAGGCAGTTAATAAACAGGTAAAAAAAATAAAAACCTTACCATTAATTTACTTAATAACTATTACAATTTGGAAGGCATTAAGATTATTGCAAAGGAGTATATATGTATACACTGTTTTCACAGTTTTCCATGACAGTGGTCAGATTTGTCTTCCTGTCTGATTATGTTTTTCTCTTTTAGGAATACTCAGAAGGTTCCCTCCTTGCCAAGCACAAGGACTGAAATGAAAACATCTGACTCCTTCACTATCAAGTTCTAAACACCTGATGCTGGTATGTCATCCTCTAGAAGGTTTCCAAAGGCTGTAAATCACAAAAGAGGAGGTGGTTTATCTTTCTCCCATGGAACAGCTGTAAGATTTGAGCCACATGCACCTACAGCCTCTCAAATATCCTCATTGTCTTGCTTTTCTGTCATTACTGAAGGTCAATGCCAACTCAGCTAACACTACATTCAGTTTCCAAGACTATACTTACCACCAGAGGAGACTATTTCAAGAAGCACCTGGTGGATTTAAATCACCACAGAGACAATTTTATTAAGCAGTACAATTTTTTTCCAAAAAAAATTGAATACAAATTCAAACAAAATCTTTCAATTTCCCTCACTCCATATCAAATTATATGATAATTAATCTCCCCTCCCCCTGCACATCCACATCCCTCTACTTCCAGCCTCTCCCATCCCTCCTGGATCCTTATACTCATTCTACAATAATGGTCTTATACAATATTTATCCTTATGGGCCTGAGTTAGTTCGCTTAGCATATGCTCTCCAGTCCCTCCCAAATTAGGTAATAATTTACAAAATTACTGTTCCTGTATGCTGCATAATAAGCAGTGCAATTTTGTATGGATTCACTCTTACTTAATTCCCCTGTTTCTGGCCAGAGGTTCCATTAGCACATAAACAAACACTATAAAACTCCCTGTTTTCATGCTTTTGATTCAGAAGGTAATAGGAAATTTATGGTATAATGATTAATGCACAATTGTTATTGTTGTTAGGTCCCTTTGAGTCAAGTACAACTCATTGCAACCTTGTGACTAAAAGATCTGAACCCTGTCATATCTTGTGTCATCCTCACACTTCTGGACATACAAGAGCCCATTGCAGCAGTCATTTATGCCAATACTCTTTGTTGAGAGTATTCCTCTCCTTCACCAGCCTACTATCTTTCCCAGCATCATGTCCCTCCCTAAGGAATGGCCCCTCCTAGCAACATGCCCTAAGTATGTGAGGCGAAGCCTTATCATTCTTGCCTCCAAAGAGCGCTCCCTCTCCAAGACATATCTGTTTGTTCTCTTGGCTGTCCATGGGATGCTCAGGACTCTTCTCCAACACCACAGCTCAAAGGTGTCAATTATTTTTCTATCATCCTTGTTCAGTATCCAGCTCTCAGATGCATAGCAAGGAATAGAAAGACCATGGCCGGAATCATACGTAACCTAATCCTCAAACTGACATTATTACTGCTCAATAATTTGGAGAAGTCCCCAACTGCAGATGTTCCCAGTGCAATGGTGAATTCAAGGTGAAGTTGTTGACAGTTTCAATCTTTTCTCCATCTATTATGATGTTGTATATCAGTTCAGTGATAAAAAAACTTTTGTTTTCTTGATCTTGAAATGCAATCCATACCAAAGGCTACATTCTTGATCTTCTACAAGTGCTTCAAGTCCTCCCCACTTTTCAACAGGCAAGGTTGTGTCAGTAGTAATTAAGAAAACTAGTACTTAGAATACATAAATGCAAAATGCTATATATCATTATATAGAAAGTTCTAGAGGGGAAAGATTAGTGGGTGAAGAGTTGCTCTGCCAACTCAAAAGCAGGTAGAGTGAATTCACCAGCTTCTGAGTGGGAGGAAGATGGGAATTTTCCTCTCTTGGAATTACAGCCTCTGAAAACCCATTGGAGTGATAGCTGTGATTAAGATCTTACTTGATGATAATTAGAGAGTGAATAAGACTATTATACTTACCACATAATTTTAAGTTATAAATGAACTTTATTTACAATAGAGTGATTTCCCACTGAAAATGACATTTTTAATATTAGAAATATTAAACAACTTCCTATTTATTAGAAGAGCTTTTCTTTTTTATTGTTTCATCTATCAACCTCATGAACACCAATGAAACCTCAAACTCTTGGTTGAGAATTAACAGAAA